CCCTCTCTCTCTCTCTCTCTCTCTCTCTCTCTCTCTCTCTCTCTCTCTCAAATTCATCTTCCTGTCCTGATCTCACTTTTCTGTCTTTACCACATATGTCTATCTGTCTGTTTTTTGCCTTTAAATTCGTTTTTCTTTTCAGTATCATACTTTACTCCTTTCTCTGACTTTCTCATTATCTTTCCTGTAGAGAAAGTTGAGTTCTACTGGAAACCCGTATGGTCTTTCCTTTGTAAATATCACCACCCTTATGGACTTACTAATTCAAAAAAAACTTTTCTTCCTTCCTTATTTCTTCTTCTCATACTTGCAATCTCTTTTTTTCATTCCTTCAACTTCGTTTTTCCACTATTCATCTACACGCCTCATTCAGATTTCGCTAGTGATACGGTTTTGTTCTTAAAGTTATATAACTTTTCTGCATGTGGCGCAGTGGTTGGAGGCGCTACTGTGACACACACGTGGAATCAATCCTCGTGCCCATGGCCTAGCAAGCCTTCTATCCCTCCGGGGTCGGTAAATTGCTACCAGACTTGTCTGGGAGGATAGCAGCACTGGATCTATACATCGGTAGGCCACCACGAGTCATTGTAAAGGCCAGATATGCACTCAATCACCGCCAACGATACTTAATGAACTCGAATGCATGGCGCATCCCTCAGGGTTTGATCAACGTCGAGGGCTTTCTCCTTTATCTAACTTTTCTATCTCTTCTGTCAGATCACTGAAGTTGTCCTGTAATATACTGACTAGGGCGCGGATACTATATTCACTTTAAGTTCCATAATGCTCTTTACCCTTTACAATCATAAATAGCGCAGTTATTTTGCCAATACCCATTGATCTCTGGCAAGTTATTGCAAAATCCGGAATGGCGGTAGCCTACACCAACATATTTTACTTGCTGTGTGCCCATGCACGCATTTATATGAACATATCTAGTCTTCCCAAATATGTTACACCAAGGGTATATATAGAATAGTAGTTAGGGGCCCTTCCAATAGATGCATGGTTCTCGGTTCGATGTTGAGCCGCAAGCAAACAGCCCTCCATCAATCCGTCCTCCGCAAACTGGTGTCATATTTATGGGGGTGGATAAAACAGTAGTTCGATATATCGGTTGGCTCGTCCGAAAGTGTATTGTATACGAAAAATATGCATTCAATCATCACATGTTGCGTAATGGAGTCGAACGCATGGCGCATCCCTCAGGGATTGATCAACGGCGATCGCTGTATCGGTCAATCCACGCTTCATTTTGAACCTGTCTCGTTGTTGTGCTGTTGATCAATACAGTACTTATACATTTATTATTTACTACCCTAATTCAACTTTCGAAATGACTTCGATTTCGAGTTCAATGGGTAGGTTTAAGGTGACTTCTTTGTCTTAACTGCTGCTCAGTACATGGGGCAATTTGGTGGCATCATAAGTGTAGAGAATGTGAAGATGCATAAGAACCATTCATTGGTGTTTACAAATGAACTTAATTCGTTCATAGGTGGTTTCATTTTCAAAAGACGTTTTTGGATGCAGTGCTTTGCGATATCTCTAAGCACAATGTTGACAAGTTCAGCCAACCTTGAAGATTATTCGTCCATAATCGTATCCTGAGGGGATTTTTCTACAAGCAGTAAATGTAGATTCCTATCATACAATGGCTTGCATTAACCGTAAGGTGGCAAAATTGGTGCTTTCTTTGTAATTCACCAACCAATTTGCTACCGTCTTTCTCTCTGTTTATCCCGTAGGAATGAATAGAGATCTGTTTTACTTGTTTTTTGTATAACAAAGTTATGTTAAATATAGATTCAAAGGTGACGAAGTCCTATTCCTCATCCTTCGCCGTTATTTAAATGTTGGGGTCAATTTAGCGCAGTGGTCAGAATTGGCGCGCAATTAACACGTGGTCGTTGGTTCGATCGCCAGGCTAAACTAGCCTTATATCCATCCCAAATCCAAAAATTAGTGCCTGGTTTACCTGAGAGGAAAGAAGATCATAGACCGGATACCTCGTTAGGCACTCGCAAGTTACTGTGTGCTCCAAATAAGCAATTATTCACCTTGAAATTACGAATTGATTCGAATGGAAGGCGTATTAGTAAGGGTCTGGCCATTTTCAGACGCTTTACGCTTTTATAGCTGAGGTAAAGTAACTTTATGTTGGTGCTGATGAGTTTCCCCCTAAACGGTTTTGTAGGGATGATAACGTCTGGTTTTCTCCATACGTATTTTCTCAGGTGATATGATAGTCATCAATTGTCCAACTAGTTGCTTATCAGCAGAAACACAGAAGAATATGCGAAAATTGTGGCCTTTCAGAAGATGGCGGATTTAGTAAAAATCCTGGTGTGATTTCAGAAGAGCAAAAAAACGAGGCCTGGTCGCGTATTCTGGCCGAATGTGCGGCACGTGGTCATCACTGGGTGAAAGGCAAGGATGTGACGTATTTGAAAAAGTCGAAATGGCCAGGAATCAAGAGAGACGCCATCGTGAGTTTGTTCTTTTCAACTTACGAAGATATGGTGTTGTTAGAAAAGACATTCGTAGAAGTTTGACATCTGTCTCGCTGTATTCTACCGTCTGTGTAAAATGTGCGCTGAATCAAATCGAATTAACCAAATTGTCGATTTCTTTTTTTCCTGAAATGTTTTTCCAGTATGCGTTAGGTTTGTTCATTGGTCGTGTAAAACATCGTTATTTTCCTAGATATGGTATTCCGATAAACGGAGATTTTGGCAGTGTACTGGCCAGGAATACTTCTTTCTCATCGTTTTGAAATAGTGGCTTTGAAACCAAGTAGAAAATTTGAACTATATTCAGTCAAAATCAGAAGGTTAACTTTTTATTTACTGCCTATCACAGTTTTTCACGGCAGGGTGCTATATGAAGTGTAACTACAATGATGCTGAGATAATCGCGAATCTTGTACCCCAGGCCAAATCGAACTGCAATTACCCTTTCCGCGGGCTCACGCGTTGCGTACTGCACAACTGACCCTTGCTTTGCCTTTCTGTGAGCTAGTTTTCTGCTTAACGGTACCATCAGCAATTACACATGAACGGGATTGATCTGGGGAGCACAATTCGGTATTGAATCCACTTAAGCTGAGACTGTAGTCGAAATTACAATGGTATTTACTGCCTAAGCCCTCTGGGAAAGGTAGTCGCGGTCCGATCTGGCCTGGGGTCCAAGTCTTGCTAATAGCTCAGCTTCACTGTGGTAATATTCAGTTAATTCGATTTAATTCTTCAATCCTCTACCACCATTCATTTCGATTTCTTCACTGATTTCGTACTTGCTGTAAAGTAACATTCTAAAACCGTCTCTTTTTCGCTCACATCGTAAGCATTGGAGAAAAATCGTCGTTAAATCTGTACACGCTTGCATTAGGAACTTTTCCCAGTTCACGAATTGTAAAATATTTTACTTTCCCTTACTAAGCTGCTATAGGGGTCAGGTCTTTCAAGCACAACTAGACTGGTGATATTTGGTAGATGAGTTCGAAACGCTAAAAAGCTTCAAAATTGAAAATCAGTTCGCAACAAGGTGCTCATCTAATAAATATTTGCCATTTCTCTGGACAAAAAGACGACTAAAAAAGAGGAGGGTATTCGTGTTTTCTTATAAACAACGTTAATTCTAGGAACATTATCAATCTGACATGAGGGGTGATGTTTCGCACAGAAAGAAGCTGACGGAAGCCGATGTCATCGTTTTAAAAGCCATAAGCTTCGACACAGAAAATTTAGGTTTGCACATTTTCGCGAATTTCTTGTTTCTGTCGCTCTTCGCTCAAGTCATCTTAAACAGGATTGGCAGCGCACTGGGCGAAAGACACATTTGTGAACAAGCAGGGTTTCAAAAAGAATTCAGCGCGATGAACCGCATCCACACGATAACAGTACTTATTGAAGTGTCGTGAGAGTACTCATGGAAGCCCTGGACAGTCAAGGCGTCCCTGTTGAGTATATAATGATTTTTCGTGAACTATATAGAAATTTCACAGCCAAAATATGACTATTCTATAACGATGTTAACATAGAGGTCTAAAGAGAGGTTAAGGAAGGCGATACACTCTTTAAAATTATTTATTGTCACGCTTGAGAATTTCATGGTAACACTGGAATGGGGCAACATGAGAGTGAAAATCGATGCTTAGAAATTACACCATCTTCGCTTTGCCGATGACATTGTTTCTGTGACACAAGACATTAACCAATCGACAGCGAATGCTTTCCGACTTTGATAAAACCCGCTGAAAGATTAGTCCTCGACTAAATCTTGCTAAAATCTCACGATAAATGGATTGGTTTCGTATTTCCCATTCAAGCCTAGCAGAACGAATATCTCCGAACTAAGCAGGAGGAAGCGAGTGGCTTGGAGACTTTTCAATAGCAGTGGAGGATGCTGCGAGGAGAACAAAGAACACCCGACTCCGTGCCTACCTTTTCCACTCCACGATTCTTCCTGCATTAATATATGCATCAGCAACCTGGTCGCTATGTAGTCAGTGTGAAGGATCATTCAACCTTATTGAACGCCCGTCGAAAGAACAATGACGGAAGTTCTTCTACCACACAAGTTAGAGAGGGAATATGAAGATGTGATCGACGTTAACGACGAAAAATTGAAGATCCCGTTCTATATGCCAAATTATCGAAGATTAGGTAGGCCGGATAAGAAATGCATTTTAACGACAACCGATGGACAAGAGCTGGTAGCGACTGAATTACTCGGGATGTGAAGCGTAGTGAAGGAAGACCAACGACCACGACGGGAAGAAATGCAAGGTTCACTGGCCCCAACTCGAGTCACTCGACGATGGGACGACTAACAATGCTGGTGATCAGGAAAAGTTTTTGTTTGAAATTGTAATCACTACAATAATCAGCAGTGCTAGAATAAATACAATGCAGTTACCATAGTAAAGTAAGTAAAAAGGATTTACTGTAGTAAAAAAGCTGCAGTGGGCATTGGAAGAAATTAATTTGTTTGGCTCAGTACAATGGTCAGATTATATATTCCATATTTGGATTCGAATGTCTCTATTTGTGACAGTAAGCTTGAATATGCAGGACCCTTGTTATAATGCTGACGTAAAAGTTGTCGTTGTGACCAACTCTTAGAAAAACACGTATTTAAAAAGTGATTTGTAGGTTTTTGTATAATACAAGCACCGTTGTAGTGATGTCGTTTAAAGCGCTCAAGGCAATGTCTCGACCAAGCAACGAGCCAACCAGACTTGTCTCAGAAGAGCTCCTTTAATCCACAAAGGTTGGTGATTCCCTGTAGTGAAGACCTGGGATCTCCTTACCATGAGTGTCTTGGGAATCCAGAAGGAATGTATTCGACCATCATTCGACAACATTTGCAAGGAAGATCAAAATCCTTTAGCTGCGGCTGAAGCCACGTGTAGATCTTAAGACCTTTGTGGATGATGAATGCAAGGCAACAAATTGAATGCGAAAAACACTAGGACTGACTCAATACGTAGTAACGGGTCGTGTAAAGTAGAACGAGAAAACAAAAATAAAATGGAGCAGATTAGATAACTTCGATTGCAGTAGTAGTGATTTTAGAAATACTGAGCTTGATATCGTTGTTGGCCGCCGAGCGCACCGAGCCTCTCTTCCTTTCGTGGTGGGGAAATCGGTACCAGTTTTATCTGGTAAGGCTCACTCTCTGCAATTCAAGTGGAAACGCTTTAGCTCGACTGTCTTAGGACTCTAAGAGCAATTAACTCGACCAGCATTCAGCGGCATTCATAACGGTAGGAAAATCCTCAGTCGGCATCCAAATTGAATGGAATGTTGGATGCGAGGAAAGGAATCGAATGTAGGAAGTGTGGGATCGATGCAATAGATATGAAGGACGAATATTGTGGAAAAAAAAACATCGTCGTTTTCACATTTAACTGTGCTTAATTAGAAGTTAATTGCAATTTTTTTTGCTCTATAAGATTGCGGAATTGTACAAACAATGGTTCGTTCTCTACTGAATGCACAAAAATTCTTGAATAATAATGAGTGTTCAGAGCTGGCTCTTTGAAAACTACGGGACATTTTTCGACATCTGGAGTACTTAAGGTCTTGAGGAATTGGTAGTCCTTATGGTAGCCGTTGATTCCTTTAAATATGAAACTTCTTTAGGTTTTCTGTTCTTGTTTATTCAATGTAAGTCGTTTCCTAGCCTCCATGTCATTTCGATGTCTTATTTTAAATGATACCCCTTCTGTTAGAAGTTGGTCTTCTTGATAAGAGACAACAGCTCTCCAAGTAAATTGGAAATTTCACCTATTACTTTGGCATCTCATTTTTAGCGACTGTTGTACGGGGATGAGTCGCCGTCAGGTCTGTGTAGAACAACAAATTATTGCATGCTTTTTTGTGTAGTTTTTGAAGTCCAGAGAATAGTTTTCATTGAACAATACTTACTTCAGCATCTGTGGAAGCGGGGCTACTGGTTTAATCCAAAAAGTAAAGCGAAAAATTATGTGTGGAGAACGAAAAAATAAAATGCATTGGAATAAGTGCGTATCGTCCACATTGCCCTCTCCACGTATGTGTCGGAATCATCGCACAAACCTGTTGCAGGTCCATTATAAGTTCCGCTCTAAGGGAATCAATGGCAGTGGTAGTTTTTCTCTACGGAATTGTGAAATACTTCAAAAAGTAAAGTGTGAAATGAAATTTCCTAAGATCGATTTAATAGCTTAATTAAGTTATGAGCTTTATGCCATCCTAACCGCGGTTTCTCAGGATATTAACTATGTGCCACTATTTGAAAATAAGCTAAGACGAATCTTTAGGCTCATTTTCGGAGAAAGATAGCACGGCCCGTGCTGCGGTTAGTGAACAACGTGACTCTAATGTCACTCAGCCGGTGACTGTTGAAGTGAAGACTGGGAGACCGCTTGATTTCCTTGGTTGTGGAATGGCGTTAACTGATGGTATTTCATTTCGGGTTTCGTCTAACAATATTTGTAGTTTGTATTATGAAGGCGAAAGTGTAAATAAACACTGCACTTATTTCCAGCTAATTTGCATATTTTCAGAGGTGGATAAATTTGACAACGGGTTGTTGTTCAGTCTGTTTCCGAAGAACCAACAGGAATCCAAGAAAACAACGATATGTGCTGCTGATCAAGTAGGTATTACATGGATGCTAGGCGCTTATGTGATTTATCTACTCGAACTATGCTAGCCTAAGCGCAGTTTCCCATATACTACTATTTTGGCGAACGTAAAAACTTTCTTCCTGGAAACTCGAGATGACTGCAGAGGTTTTCCCTATACACCACAACGATCAGTTATCTACCATTATGGATGTTAATATCATGGATGTCCTTCATAGGAGGATCTCATGCCGGCTTGTCGCGAAGCAACGTGGCGTGTCACAGGGTGGTAGGTAGGGGCTTAATTGCGGGCCAAAAGCGACCGACCTTATGCTCCCTTGAAGCACCCGTGGATATAGAGTGTGGAATCCGTGTTTCTATTGAGCCGATTTGGCACATAGCTTTCGTGTTTATGGGAACATATTCATGCATGCGTGAATGGATATGTTCTCTTTTATGCGAATTGTATTCGACGAGTCAATTCTGGCAAAATCCTGAAATCAAGTGGTTGGGAATTATATGCGAATGGAAGTCGCCTCTAACAAATAAAGTCTTTGTTTACTATGGATGATAACAAGCTACCTGTGAGCATACACGCTAGTTACGTTTAAAGCTCGGCTAGCTATTCGCGTGTATTAAATGCTAAGCACAGAAAAATAAGCAGACCTCATTTCCTTGATTCCGAAAGAGCTCCTGATAAGGGTGTGAATGGGTTCGACAAGGCCATAATATCTTCTAAAATTATTTATTGCCACATTCTAAAACGTCATTCGAACATTAGCATGGGGTAGAATGGGAGCGAAAATCGTTGGTCGCGAATTACACTATCCTCAATTTGTTGATAACATATAACGCCTAACATTATCCAAGCATAACAAATGCTTACCGACTTTGATAAAGTCTACGGAAAGATTGGTCTTCGACTTAGTCTCATAAAAACGATGTTCATGAGGAGCAGATTGGTTACGGATTCTCCATTTACCCTCAAAGGAATGAACATCTTCGAATGCTTCAGAGGTTAGGAAATCAATATAATGAACGACTTAGTTTCAGAGTTGAGCAGAAGGAAATGAGCGGCTTGAGGAGCCTTCAAGAGCATCAAGGGCGTAGTGAGGAGAATAAAGAAAACCCGAATCCATGTTAACATTTTAGGCTTCACGATTCTTCCTGGCTTAACTTCTGCCTCTGAAACGTGGTCGCTACATAAGCAGGATGAAAAATCACAGCGTTATGGAAGGTGCAGTCGAAAGGACGATTCTTGGAGTATCTCATATTACGCAACTGATGGGACTGCACCAACGATCTAAAACCAAAGTTGCCGTTCTATGCGCCAAACTGTCGGAGATAAGGTGCGCCGTACACGCAATGCTTATGAACGACAACCGATGGCCAAGACCCGTTAGTGATATGTCAAACGCACAGGAAGAAATCCACTGATCCGATGGTCAGCGTTCTTCACGAAAGCCCTAGAAGAAAGGTATGATGCTCATTGTTTTCCTAGAGTGTGCAGAATCCACTGAGTTGCTCTTGCACATGATAGGGAGAAATGGAGAATTTACTGGCGCCCTCTCAAGTAACTCAGCAAGGAACGGGGTAATAGTTGATACCGGTGATGATTGGGAATTGACCGATCCATTCTAGCGAAGTAAATATTGATGACATGACAAGTGAGTTTTTTAGCTCTTCAGTCCATTGGCGACAACACCAATATTTTTCACGAAGTGGTTCCTAGTTTTTCATGCGATGACTCACATATGACTCTTGCTGGCGAAAGTGTCTCCGACATGTGAATAGCCTATGCATTCCTCTTTAGCAGTAGAGTTTTTTCTTCTGTTGATAGAGAACGCTACGCTACTCAAGGTACTTCCTTTATTTTTGCACCCTATCACTAGCTACGGTCTCTGTGATATTCTCTTTGCAATAAAACTGCCCCGAGAAGTTTACTAACTACTAACAAGGAAAACTGAATCATATACGAATCATGTCAACGAATTTTCTGCGAAATGTATGGCTCATGTTAAAAGTCGTATCATGGCCAATATGTGGTGCTTTATATGGCATCCAGATTAGAGTAATTCTCCGTACTTGTCGTTTCTTAATTGAAAATAGTGCTTGATGGAGGAAATTATCGCAGGGCTGCCTTTGAATTCAATGGAAGGATGGTTTTGCAAAGCCAGTGAATTTCCTGGAAAATTGACGAAGGCAGCTATTCGAGTGCTCGATGATGTGCTACATATTGTAATCTTTGGCATAGTGGAGCGCAATGCCAATCCCTACCTCTTCTTTTACATTGATTTGTAGAATATAATATCTCACAATGCTCACTATTCTGTACTGTCCCTTTCCATTGTGTAAATATTTAGTCTTGTAATATATGAAACGCAGTTAACGCGAGAAGCCTTACTATTATTGTTAATTGTTACAACTATTATTAATTTTTATTAATGTTCGTTATTAGTATAATAGTATATTAGTATAGTATAATTAGTATAATATAGTATAACATAGTATAATTAGTATAATTCGAAACATAACCTGCCATTAAAAAGAAAAAGGCAGTAAATAAAAGAGTTAAGATTGTGATTATAACGAGGCCTCAGCTTAACTGGGTTCAATGCCGATATTGGCTCCCCAGATCAATCCCGTTGACGGGTGGTTGCTGATGGCAAAAAAGATCGATAGAACTAGCTGAGATACATGCAAAGCGAAGGACCCGGATGGTGTAGTGGTGAAGTGCGCTGCTCCCCGGTAAGGACAACAGCGCGTGTTCGTTCTCCACTGCATACACCTGTGGTCCGGAGTTTTGCAAATATCTCAGCATTTCATACGAGTTATAATTCGTTATTAGTATTTATAACCGCTACTATTCGTTATTATTATTATTATTATTCGTATGAAATGCTGAGATATTTGCAAAACTCCGGACCGCAGGTGTCTGCGGTGGGGAACGAACGCGCTATTGTCCTTTCCGGGGAGTAACGCGTTCACCACTACACCATGCCGTTCCTTCGTTTCGCCTGTGTCTCAGCTAGTTCTATCGATTAGTGCTATCAGCAATCACCCGTCAACTGGATTGATCTGGGGAGCCCAAATCGGTATTATTGGCAAGTGATCGTTCAAATGCTCTCTGAATAGTGAGTGCGCAGTGTTCTTAATCTGGTTGAAGTACCAGTCCACGTGTCTGCTGCATAGAAGAATGCTGGGAGGGCTGTTGAATCAAGAAGGGTGAGCATAGTCTTCTGAGACAGTTATGTGGTCGGTGGCTTTCTTGGGTGGACCGAGTACGGTTCATCCTGCTCTCCTTCAGTCTCATTTCTCCTTCGTATTGTTCTTCATGTTCATTGAATGAACAAGGCAAACGTGCGAAGTGGTCTCTGTGATCAGGGAACCATCCAGTTTAATCTTCGCACTATAACTTTTTTCATGAACTGGGCTTTATCCCGATTTATTTATAGTCCGATCTTTTTTCAAGCTTCGTTGAGCTCGTTAATCATCGTCTCCGCTTCGTAGGTACTTCTTGAGAAGATGACGATATCTTCGGCGAAAGGAGAATTCGATAGGAATTTTCCAGCAATGGGTATGCCTTTCTGGTCCAATCGAGTCACTTCATTATACACTGCTCTATCAGTTCTACTCCTGTTAACTATTATTTGTTGTTTCTTTCAACGGTTTACCATCTCATCGTAGCTGGGAGGTGTTCCTGGTTGACGGCCTTCGATGTGCGGTGGAGGATTCATCCCACCAATTGGGTCTTTCGAGTTAAAAAGAGTCCGGCGTTTCCATCAGGAAGTTCAGCTAAGAGTAAACCAATACCAGGATCCGTCGCTGTCCTGGTACCAAACTAGTCGCATGGTGACGAATTTCTCTCGATTCACAAGGGCGGCGACCAGCTGGTAATGTCTAGACCAGAAAAAACTCCGAAAAAATGGAAGTCGTGCTGTTGAACGCACAATCAGTGAAGACAAGCGGTCGAAGCATCCAGGTAAGTAAGTATTAATCAAAATGTGCTTAAATTGTTGAGCTTACGCGGGGTTAATAGCATAGTTTTAAGTAAGTGTTATTTGTTTTTATTATTATTTAGTGAAATCTGCACCGTTGTCATAGGAATTTGTTAATTGAATAAGAGACTATTCATCATTATTTTTTGTGCTGATTTGCATTGGCATTTCTCTTCACTTTGTTCCTCTAAAATGCTATCCTTGAATGAGGCACAGTTCGAAAAAAAACGCTCAGAAGTTGTGTCAGTTTATCTATACTTTTTTTAAGGAACAGCGTTACACGAAACGGCAGCGTGTTGATGATGATGGACCAATTGACCACGATCTCATGGCTGCACTGGGCTTTGGAAAGAATCGACAGAAACGTTAGACTTTTTGTGTTCCACCTTCTATTTTATACTTGTTTATATCAACGTGGGGTCAATCTCGAAAATGCAACGTGATCATGCGGTCATTCATTGTTCTTTTGTAATATTATGGATTTATAAAGTTTTGATAAGATGTAAACCTCCTAACGGCTTACCGCCTCATCGTGGCTAGGTGTTCCCGGCTGTCGGGCTGCGATGTACGGCGGGGGATTCATCCACCTAGCATGGTCTCCCAAGCTGAGAAGGAGTCCAGCGTTTACATCAGGAAAGCCTAGCTAAAAGTAAACCAGTACCAGGATCCACCACTGTTCTGGTATCAAATTCGCATGGTGGCAAATCTCTCTCTCATCCACAAGGGCTGCGACTGCCTTTGGTGGTGAAGACCTGAGGCAGACCTTGGCCAGGTTGACCTCGGGATTCCAGGGAACCACAATGGGTTAACCAGAAAAATGAAAATTCGTCAAAAAAACCTTTTTATAAGTTATTAAATGCAGAGAATGAGGTCCATATGATCATATTTGGTAGAACAACATCTCTGTGTACAAGTGACTGCCAACTGAATACAAAAAATGTAGCAAAAAACACTGCGCCACTAATGCGTAGTTGCAAAAGAAATAGGAAACCTAGCTAGTAGTAAACCAATACCAGAATTCAGCACCGTCGTGATATTAAAGTCGTATGGTGGCAAAAGTCGCTCTGATCCACAACGCCTGCGGCTGCCTGTGGTGGTGACGACCTGGTCAAACTTTGGCCAAGCTGACTTCGGGATTACAGCGAACCACAATGGCTCAACCATCAAATCTCCGAAAAGTGGAGATTATGCTGAGTCCCGCACAACTAGTGAAGACGGGCCATTCAAGTATCAAATATCAGATATAAAAGAAAACATGACCCATTTGAGAGAGATTTGCAAGATATTTGGTTAGCTTTTTTTAAATTATTTGGCCACAATGTTCTTTAGAACGATAAATTTGCTTATTTCATGTACGCCGATTCCAGCGACCTTTCAGACAAGCGTCATCGGATTCCGTAATTCTCTCCCAATTTAGGCGTCGATAATTCTATAATTCCTGGACAAGTTCGGAAGTCAACGGAGAGGGATCATGGAGATCCTCATCATCTTACAACCGTTGGTGATGTACGTTCTGCTCACAACCTCTACTCAATTTTCTTTTAATTTAATTAGAATCACAAGCCCTTGAGACCCTCTACACTCACCGCCCCCGCTGGACGTGAGAAAAATTGTAAAGCCTGTCCCCACAAAAATCGTTTTCGCGCGTGTAGCGCAGTGGTCGGAGGGTCTGTGCAATAGCAGCACATGGGATCAGTCTCAGCGGTCTAAGCCCACCAAGCCCTCATCCCTCTAGGGTCGACAAATTGGTGCCAGAATTGTCCGTGAGAATAGGAACACTGACTCGATACATCTGTAGGCCTCTGCGAGTCATTGTAAAGGCTAGATATGCATTCAGTTATCACCATTGGTGCTTAGTGAAGTATAATGTATGGCGCATCCCTTAGGATAGATCAACGCCGAGAGCTTTACCTTTTTATCCTTTTTTTGTTTTCGAGGATGTCAGGGTGCTTAATGCAAGCGCAAGGGGGAAATGTATTTGATCGCTACGGATTTGTGTATAAAGGTTTTGGAATGCGGTTATTAAATGTGAATAGTAGAGCGTATTCGAAATCTAACATATTCTTTTACTTTTTTTTCAGTACCTTCGTTCTGTAACTAGCTTGTCATCGTCCATGAAAGATGCTAATACGGTGGCCATGCCTTCAGCTGTGACAATGCCTCAGCCAATGAAAGTGCCTTCACCTATGGGAGTACCTTCACCTGTGACAATGCCTCAACCAATAAAAGTGCCTTCACCTATGACAATGCCTTCTCCGATGGCAATGCATTCACCTAATGTCACTGATCGAGTGCCATCAATGGAAAACCAGAAAAGTGTGATGTCACTACAAAAAGGTTGGAGTTCGTGAATTTGAAAGAACATTGGTCCTGTCTGTTTTGAAAGTGGGATATCAAGATAAATAGAAATTCTTAAATTAGTATGCGTTCTTCACATCTGTTGCTGTTTCAGCCCTTTTCTTCTGTCGACGAAAACAAAATTCACATTATCATTTTCATGGTGTATTTTTGCCATTTGTTTGTAAAGTCCATTCAAAATATTAGTAGTTTTTGGAATCTTACCATCAGCATCACTGTGGAAGTTAGTTTCTTTTCAGTGGCTCCTTTCAACTCCACACCAATAATGCCTCCTCCTAAAGAGATTTGTCGAGATCTGAAGAATCTTCAGAAGAAGGCCATTGAGTCACAGATTGCAAGAGTGGGTTGCTTACTAAGCTTTGTTCCGCTGTGAAATTAGTTTGCTTACGAGTTCTTTATTCATTAATTTGTTTGACCATGCTCTGATTACTGCGATACATTTGGAATAATTTGAATTTAAACACTAACAGAAGCCCATTTATCGCAGTGGTTAGGTGTGCCCTGCAACAGATGGTCTTCCGTTCGATCCTACATCCCGAAAACCTTGCTCTTTCCTCCAGAGAGATCGAAAAATTGTTACCACATTTTTCTGAGAGGACTTGATACATTGGTAGACCATCGGAAGTTTTTATATAGCCGAAGTATGCATCAAACACCTCTAAGATGCTCAATGGAGACGAAAGTATAGCGTATTCCATAATGTAGAGATTAATGCCAAACGCTTTATCCTTTGTGTGGAAGCATCTTGTTTGTTCCTCTCACTTCCTTACTCGAATTTTTTTTAACTTCCACCTATATTTTACGAGAACAGAAACAAAGATCACTACTTACTTTTTGCCTTCGTCTTTGTGACCGTTGCACGAGTTTCTTTTTAAACCGCTCTGATTCTGCAACTGACTGAATTAGTTAAAAGTGTCCTGGAATCTCTTGAATATTTGAAAAACTATATGTTATTTGACTGCAAAGTTGCTGATATTTGAGTAAACCTTGGTACCTCAAGTGGGTTTCGACCAGAGATTACCCTTTCCAGTGGTTAACATGTTATCCACCTCACCAGTCAAAGACGCTTTGCTTTTTATTCAGACAGTTTTTTTTGCTCAAACGGGACCATCAGTGATCGAAGAAAAACTAGCTGAGAGAAGAGGGAAACGAGGGCCACGGTTGGGGTGGTGGAGAGCACGTGGGCCTGCGGAACGGGTAATTGTGGTTACGAAGCCTAACTAAGGTTCTGAGTTTTACTCATATCTCATTATTCTTGTGATTGTATTGCACATAATATCTTGCCGTGATAAAAAGAAGAAAAAGGCGGTAAATAAAAGTTAGATACTTACTACATTTAGTTGCCCAGGCTTCATTACTTCTTATAAACTGGAGCTTCAGTCTAGAAAAAAATGTTTGAAGGAAATGGGATTATGAATGCGAATCGATATACTACATCGTCTTTGAGCTATCGTTCGAATAATCGGCGGATTCCCTGCTGTCTTGAAATGATTTGAGGCCCAGGGTAGCAAACCTTCCTCCAATCCACAAAAGCTAACGACTGCCTGTGATGAAAAAGAGAGTGTGCTCAAGCACAGCTACCTTGGTGCTCCACAGATAACCTCTCTTGACCAGCTTTCAATATGTCGCCGAGAAGGCGACAGATTTTCATGTCACATGCGAACCCACGCGTGAACCTCACAATTTTTAAAGGCGGCGGCAGCAAGAGAACGAGACAACTGAAGGTGTTGAAACTCCGCTCGACATGAAATGGCGGATCGTCTTTGTAAATAAGTGAAGAGATAGACGTTTATGTAGAAATGTTTGGCTCTATAACAAATTGCGTTGTGTTTTGCTTCCGCTTTAGGCTTGCAATCATTTATATAAATTAGACTGTTTAGGACGACACGATGACTAAGTACTACCAAATGAAGATGAGGAAACTTGAGTTGGAAATCGCGCTATTGCAAAGAAGCAGAACCGAAAATCAGGGTTTTTGCAGAAAGTGATTCCGAGTTTGATATTTTTTTATCGCCTTCGCCTACTTTATGTCTGGTTGTTCGTGATCTCCACCTGCCTTATTGCATCCAATCATGCCTTCGTTAGTGCGGGTTGTCTTGTTGTCTGATCATTGTTTTTTTTTTAATCTTGGATATTTGCAGTATTTTAGAGCTTGGTAGACATTTGCGTTTAGAGGGATATTAGGAAGCCTAAAGTAGTGTTATTGGGATTTTACCGTTTGTTAAATGTTTGCCAGTGAAGTGTTAATTGAAGTGTAAATAAAATGTTCACAGTAGAATTTGAACTGGGAGCCGCACAAAAGTTCAGGTTACGTACCCTTGCAAAGTTTGTGGAAAAAGTTGCGCAAAAGGGTGCTGAATTGTGTATCATTCGTCCTTGCATAAATTCAGTAGTTCGTACTTTGGAATTGCGTAACGATGCTTTTTCTTTGGATTTGGAGACAGTCTCAGCCGTTATTATGTCTAGTACAGATGATGAATCCTACCAGATCTAGCAGCTTTGTACCAGGTACCGGCTTAGTGCTTCATTGTCAACACGGCACCTTATCTTGGAGGTATTACGAAATTACACAGCTAGCCCGTGAATATGGTTTTAAAATGTTATTGGTGATTTTATTAACAGCTTATAGATAATGTGAGACGTATATGACTCATAGATAGGCGGGACTTTTCAACACTGAATGAACATGTTTCACTGCATAGTAAACTTTGCTAACTGCAATAAAAACCATTAGAATAAGCAGATCTTTTCAAATAAGACACACTTGTTTTTTACAACACGATGGCACTCTAGTAAGCAGAAGTCTACTGTCCTATTTTTCTTCATTAAATGCGACTGTTTCAAACAAGTTCGAAAGAGAGTGGTATTTTAGGGTAGGATTTCATAGCGTTGGAGAGATAGGGCTATCGACTGCCTCATCGTGGATGCGTTAATGCGTAATCGCTTAAAATCGCTAAGAACACTGAGTCCGGAACCGCGATGACCAGATGTTTCGAGAAAATGTGATCACTAGCGCCAACAGTGCAAATTTCTGTTCCTATAGTGGGGTCAAAATTTATCGTTAACTAATTAAATGCAACACTTAAGTAAAAGAGGTGGACGTTTTACGAGTATTGTAGAAAGTGATAGTGTAAAGGATGTAGGTGACTTCCTCCTGTCATGTTTCGCCCTTTTTTGAAAAAGTGCGGTTGAGCCTTAGAAATATCTATATTCAAGTCGTGAAGAGAAATATCAAGCCAGAGCTGAAGGTTGATGAGGGATTTGTCTATGAGGAAAGGAAAAATCGCGTGGAGAGTGTTCATCAACGGCTGAGCTGTGAGAATTTTCATGGTGTAACCTTCCATTAGTCATCTTTTCTGCTTGTTCATTGTTGTCTAAAATTCTAATCCTTCAGTTTACGACAAGAGACACCAACCAATGGACTGTGCGGTAAAAAATCAAAGCAGACCGCTCATTTTTTTCACATTAAGTCTAATTTAAAAGCATTTCAACCCACATGCTTTGTCTCACTTATGACGACTGCCTTTGGTATTCGTTGAATAAGTAATGGAAGCTGTGAATCACTGCTCTCTGGAGGAATTTTAAGGAATGACTTGACAGAATGTTCCACATTGTATCAATTCCGGCAAGGATTTTAGGAAGTGCTTCCTCTTTTCCGAGAATGATAGAAGGTATCAAATTACATCTTTAAGGACCTGTGCTAAAGGAATCCCATTAAGTAAAAAGAAATGTCAATAGGTTACTTTTGTGACATTCTTCTCCTCTTGGTCATCTTTTCTTCACATCTACATTTATTGACTCTTCTACTTTCCTTTCTTTCATTTTTGAAGGTGGAAAATAAGCCTTTATAGGCGAGTAGTGAAGAAGAAGCTTTTGTAAAATTGTCAATACCAAGATGGAACCGATAAATCGTTTCAAAAACTGAGGCTTTTACTACGCGCAGATATACATCTTTCCCCCGTGATTGACGAGACAACTTCAACCAGCAACTGAACTAAAATCTTTGGTATTTCTGACACGGCTTAGATTTACTAAAGTAAGATTCCGTCCAAGAATGCCTTTGTGGGTTGAAGGAAACGTAGGCGTCTTCGAAAAAATTCGCTATGGCTGCGAGCGCTTAAAGGGATCAGGAGGTTTATGGAAACGATCCCTACAAAGTGCTCTGAGAAATCTAAACAAAAATCGCATGAAATGGCTTAATGCGTTTGTAAAATGAGGACTTGAATGTTTTCGTTCAAAAGCAAACATACAAGGCTTGTAAAATTCCTTTGATAATGTGTGAAGATTTCTCTCCGTCGTTCTGTCCAGAAACACCAGACGACTGTGTTTCTCTCGGCACCCTCTCAACGCGCACGTTCTCTTCGACGTCAGTCTCAGCATTCGCAACACCGAGGCGGCCGACTTCTGAGGGCCTCCACCGACGGGCGGCATGCCTTTGATCTGGCGGGCGTACCACTTCCCTTTTGAACAGCTACAACGAAAAATGCGCCTCCATCGGAGTGCTTTCAGCTTTAGTGGTGACTCTTCGCTCTTCACGTCTCCTCAGTTGTCCATCTCCTCCTCTTGATGCACTTCACATCGTAATCACAACTCTAAGGAAACCAAAAAACATCTATCTTTTGTGGAACTGTAGCCTATTTCCGAAAGGTGTTATCATGCCGTCTAAGGATACTATTCGAAGGGAAACACTGCTGCGTAGTTCATAAGAACTTTAGTGGTTTTACTAGCTTTTATTCACTATAGTTATCACACCAGTGAACTTACGTACTGAAAAATGTAACATTAGGTTAAAAATTTCCTTAACGCTAAGCATTTTATGTTAGAAACGAGAAAATTAGGTTACTTGTGTATTACGCGTTCTCACAAGTATCGTGTGTCCTAATAGCTTTTTCATTCTCTTAATAACATTGATATGAAGCGAAAAATCACCTACCGTCGACCAATCCTTGTGCCATACACTGTGCATTCTCCACCATTCGCAGCATCGCATAAGTGACTGGATGCATAGTTCACTTCTGAAGTGATTTCCAGGGGCCAACGATCAAGTCGGTGTTTTTATTCTCCCAGACAAGTTTGGCACCAATTTTCCGACCTCCATGAATTGCGGTTTCGATTCGCCGGTGGCGAGACCGAAAGGGCGACCACTTGTATATCACAGGCCACCTCTAACCATTGTATTACAAAAAACAAATGATTAGTTAATGCTTAGTGACCAAAAATAATTAGGCGGTGTTGGAGGATGAACACAACACGAATCAGTATGAGTGAGAGTGTTATACTACATTGCATGCAAGGAGTGTTTGAGAAACAATAAAAAGGACAGGGAGAAGTACGGAACCGCAAAAACCATGAGTTCATAACTCTATGTAATTCGGCGGTCGCTCTCAAAAGAAAACAGTTGAAGCCACCATTGGAGTCGTTTTCTCAGTGTCCAAATGTCAGTGGGGCCTAAAGCCAGTTCTATACACAGTACCCTATCACATTCCAGCATGGACAAGCAATATCTGTGCAAGGCATGTGTCGTAAACTTTATCCCATACAATAACTTTATCCCCTATCGGAACTACATGGGGTGTCTGTAGCGGATTGATCACAGGTGCCGTGAAGGACATAGTGGATGGGTCCATGGTTCCACCTCACACCCATGCCAGCAAACGTTATATTCTTACAGAATCGACAAATTAATTCCAGATTAGCCTGGGAGACATTATTTTCTTATTATAAGCACTACAGCGGGGGCAAATGTATCTTCCATAAAAAAATTCAAGCTTTTAAAATGAGAAAAACAGGATGTTCTACATCCAATGACAGTATATTGTGAATATTATTGAGCTTGTTTCATTTGTAAACTTAGTGAATATTTTAACTGACTGCTCGATGTGAATTGATTTCCGCTCGGATGTGCCTGTAATACCGGCGGCCGAGCTAGATACAAAATGATGATACTATTATGGAAGAATCATGTCTAGCATGCAAGCGATAGAGCAAGGTCTCTTCTATGAGTTCCTCATGTTCTCAACTCCTTAAAACTGCATTTCGCCAACAATTGTCAGCTGTTATCGCAAGCCCAGTTTCTGACTGTAAAATTTGATTTCAGTTCTCCTTCACACTAGCCTGGTACTGATCAGAATGGTCCTCGGTACAACTTCCTTCTTCTATTTCTTTCAAATGCTCAACAATTTACCAAGACTTGTGATGTTTATCTGGGACAATTCGGTGAGTTCATATTTGTCAAAATAGGGGTGCCGCTGTGATCCATTCCTAGTAATCCTCCAGCTCCGGAGGCACTCGAGCTCTCTTGAGTTCGAAGCTGCTTGGTCGGCTGCGGTTGTTTCTTAAAGCGTTGCTGTCCATTTATAATATATTTATAATTTATCATTTCAGTCGAAAAAATTTGATTTAAGCTGATGTACTTTCTGTCACCACATACTATTTATCAATATGAACCATCGAATGTCTTGAAATTTGAAGTATCTTTTTGCATGTTTTGAAACACTTAGCAGACTGTTAGCCCAAGATATTTGGTAACAAATTCACGACCCTGCGAATCGTATGTGATACGTACGAGACAAAAATATTGGCCACATTCAATATTAAACCGAAATGTCTCTTCCAATAGTGAACACAACTAACTTGACTGTAGGTTATTGGACCATGTAAGCGTTTTTGAACCATATTTTCTGGTCACCAAATGAAATTGTGGGAACCAACCACAGGTGTCTCTCTACTTTTATGAGTCATGATTCATATATTGAGCGTTGAAGAAGAGAATTTGTCGTGTAGGACCGGTAGTTTTCCCTTCACGTCGCTGGTTCTTGGGGCTGCTACACCTGCGTTGAAAAATCTAAAAAGTCAGCTTTCTTTCCAATTTTTTTGAGCTCTAAGTATGTGTAAAAGTTTTTTTGAATACTGCATAAAGGTAATGAAGCTCTCAGTTTTTCATCTTTTCTAACGGTGGAGAAGTTATCGCCATTTATCAAATGCCATAACAATCAGGAGTGATCATATTTACGTGCGTTAGCCATCGTTTCGAATACCGTTGATGCTACAGATGCAGTTTTAGAACCAAACCAGAACTTAGTCGTCAAAAAACATTTCAGTGACCAGTAGCGCTCTTCGGACAAAAAAGGAGAGAGAAACAAGTAAAGCCTTAGATAACGCTGACAATTTAGTTGTCCTTGACGAGACATCAAGCGGAGATCGATGTCTTCCCGGAGTCAAGTTCGATCCGTCTCTTCGGGAGCCGTCTGATCAACTCTGTCGACGACTTCGAGCGCCACTATGGTGTTGTCATGTTCTCAGCATGCAATCTGTCAGTGCCACAGAACGCTACATTTTACTGGAGTCATTACTTCGAGGGAACGTCTATGCACTCAGAACACTCAAATCTCTGCTATACCAGACTGCATTGCATCAAAGATGTGAGTTGTTGAGAGTTGGCTTGTACACCGTGCAGTTGTTCGCTAGCAAAAATATTCTGAATGTCAAAAATGC